GAATTTATCAAATTCAGCCGTCTATTATTCGTGGTTGCCACGTATGGCCCCGTGAAATTTTTTGGCTGGAAAATGGATAACTTCGGAAATAGGGAAGCTGCAGGCTGAAAGTTTCAGGAAGTGTTCCAAACTCATTCACAACTTGAATTTATCAAATTCAGCCGTCTATTATTCGTGGTTGCCACGTATGGCCCCGTGAAATTTTTTGGCGGGAAAATGGATAACTTCGGAAATGGGGAAGCTGGCATGCTGAAAGTCTCAGGAAGTGTTCCAAACTCATTCACAACTTGAATTTATCAAATTCAGCCCCCCGTTATGCGTGGTTATCACGCACGGCTCCGTGACATTTTCTGGCTAGAATTTGGGTAACTCGAGAACTGAGAAAGCTGAGAACTTGAGATTTCAAGGTAATGTTCAAGTAAAGCGTGGATAATTAACTTCCCGAAATTTGAGGACCAGTATGTACAAGAGGTTTCTAGCCAGCAGAATTTCGAGTGATCTTATTGCAGCACGAAACACTGCAAAAACGCATGATCGCACGGTCCCACCCAGTGCTTGTCGCCAATGATTTTTTCGGCTAATGCTCGCTCATTGAAAAAAATGCAAATTGGAACGAAATCAGAATTATGGGATCTGCAAAATGCATCGCTTTTGAATTTGCGATAAAGTTAAGCATTTGCCACGTTTGCATTCGAGGAATTTCACCTCCAAACTGACTTAGGACGACATGTAAATATAGAATTTTCTTGCAAAGTTTCAGCTCCACAACCCACGATGTAGCCACTTCGCTGCAAATGTATCTGAAGCACCTTTAATTGTGGCGGAAGTGAAAGTCGACACTCAATTCAGCTATACGATTTTCATATGAACAACAAATATTCTGACAAAATTTCAGCTATTGTTTTTTGCTAATTTTCGAGATAGCACAGCGCCAACTGCGAACTTTGACATGACCGTACGCGTGGTGTAGGGGTACGCGTAATTGAATTTGAAATTTTTAGCTCACACATGCACAGAGAATATTCCTGCAAAG